TCAGGAATAAACTGCATTTTAAAATAGGAAACATATTTTGAATTGTAATATTTTTCACAATATTTCTAAATTGAATGTATTTTTGATCAAATAAATGCAACCTTGGTGAGCTTAATGGGACTTCAGTAACAATAAAACAACCTTACCAGGCCCAAACTTTTGAATGGTGTTTTAAGATTATTATTATTATTTAATTTTTCCAGAAAATAATATTTTGCAGCGTGTAAAGACAAAAGTGCTTAATAATTGACTTTGTGGATAACGGAATAACAGCCAAACAGAGCATTACTTCAATTAAAGGCACTGTGAAATGATCCGACACAAGGTTTCCATGCATTGTCACACCTGTCTATGAAAAAACAGCATAAAAAAAATGAATGTCATGTTGATTCATAATTACCACTTAGCTCTGTGTTGTGTGCCCCATGTTGAACTGTCACTAAAACTAATGTGAGCTACTTCACTGATGCTGATCTCTAGATAATTTCCACTCCAACCCCGCTGAGCTGTACCTGAAGCAGGGTTCCGCTGAGGAACAGCACAGAGCAGGCGGAGGAAATAAAGTGAAGCCGTCTGCCTGCCGCGGCTCCCCAGGGGACCTGTGGGGGTGGGTGGAATCCCAGGCAAAGGTAATCACTTCAGATGGGCTGAAACGAGAGCGGCTCTGGCTCACAGGCCCCTCTGAGCCAAACAAGTGTTTGAGAGAGACAAGCACAGAAAAAGAGAAGAGAGAACGTGAGTGGGAAATACGGCCAAGGGATGAGCGCAGGTCACCCTCAAAGCCTGAGTGCAGGAAACCGTTCGGAAATCCTCTTGCCTTTCAGTGGAGTGGGAATGCCGTGGACTCACAGGATGTGAGAAGAAAGAAATCCTCAAATGCCTTTAGAGCAGTTAAGGTCATTTTTGTCAGGTGAAGGACCATTTCATCAGTAAAAATGGACCATCTATCACTCAAATCCAGGGGAGACTGCACATCTAACCTCAAAACAATTAGCTACAAGCAGTGTACAACTATCATTATACCTTATATCGTACATCTTTTCTTAACCCTTTGATGCACATCATGGGTCTAAAGTGACCTGATTGTGTTTATTTTTTCTATATGTTTGCAAGAAATTAATTTCATCATTCAGAATTCCAGGAATTCCTCAATTAACTTGTTTTTGATCATCACAAATCCTTATTTTTATTTTTTCTTTCTTACTTTTTAAATAAAAATCATTTTTGTATCACTACCCCTCTAATGCACAACATGGATCTAAAATGACCCGTATTCATTTTCTGTGTTATGTCAGTTATGGATGAGTGCTTCTTTGCTGAATATCTGAAAGAAATGTTTTTCTATAATTTATTATTCCAGATAGCCTTTAAGTATATTGTTTTTGACTTCCACAAATTATTATGTTTATTTGCCCTTTCTTATTTGAATGTTAGGCTAAGGACCTTGAAATCTATTACTAGTGAGACAGAGAAACATGTCTAATACTATTAACTAGCTTATTGTTGACATATTCTCTTTTAGCCAGCTAGTGTTAGCTAGGTCAACAAAATAAAAGTCAAAATAATACGTTATTATATACAAGTATATATCATTGCTGTCAGGCAGAAACCTCATATCTCCACATTTCATCTTTTTTTTTTGTCATAAATCAATACTATTGGTCACCTTTATGTCTGTCAGTGTTCCTGAAAAGTAATGGGTTTGGACATACAAGGTTTCTGTCTGACAGTGACAATATATAATCAGTATATTCATGATCAACTGCTTGTTGTGCACTCTTTATCTAGAGTGTTAGTATGGCTGTTCCCAGACATTCTAGATTAACGGCTGAAATGTTTGTATGCTGCATGATGAGGAAGATCAGGCAATTCTTAGTCCTGATTCAGAGTCTGAAATATCTGATGCTGATGACCTAGTCTATGTGCCACAGGGTCAATCTGGAGTTGTGGGTGTAAATCCAGCTCTCCTAGATGAAGAAGACTCATTTGATGACATTGAAGACTTGTCTGATGAGTCCTCTAAGAGCAAACTCAGACCCAGTCCAACAGATTGAGTAAAAATGGTTTGCACCTACTCATCTAAGCGGAGAACATGGAGGTGGCCCATGGTGCCGTGGTGCAATGTGCTGGATGTTACCACCCTCATTGCCTACACCAGGGGCAGCCAATGTTGGTCCTGGAGAGCCACAGTCCTGCAGAGTTCAGCTCCAACCCTAATCAAACACACTTGAACAAGCTAATCAAGGTCTAAGGGTTACTAAAAAATTACAGGCAGGTGAGTTTTTATCAAGATTGACACAAAACTCTGCAGGACTGTGGCTCTCCAAGACAGACGTTGGCCACCCCTGGCCAACACCAACTTCACTGCACAACACCCTGATTACATGGGTGGTGTGACCAGTGCATGACAGCTATTCATCAAGGAGCTGGTCAAAGCGCTTGTCATGCCACATATGAAGAGGTGCTTGGAGGGCAGGCCCCACCTTCAAAACCATATTACAGAGGTAATTGGAAGATGTGGGATAAATAACAAAATACAGCCACCACCCGGCCACAGGTATACATCAGGCAGGAGGGTCAATCGAAGAGGAAGAGGTGCAGGGTCTGCCCAGCTTCCAAAGACAGACAAGTCAACAACTGGCATTCAGTGTCAGGCTTTTTTGCAAGGAGCACAAACCTGTAGTTGTCATTTGTAAAGCATGTAAGCACTGAGATGGCAATTTGAGATGGTACTGTACCTGTGTGATTTTATTTTGTTAGTTTTATTTTCATCTGTTCGGTCACATTCACTACAATTCACTACAGTTGCACTACAGACAGTTCAATTTTAGTGTTATCGGTTATCAGTGATATGTGTATGTTATGTGTGACAAAGTGGCAACATATTTCAAGTGTTAAATGTGCTGGTCTAAGTAACTGCTAAAATAATAATTTTAACAAAATGTCTTTATTCTTTTGTTTTATCATGCTTACATAGATGGGTCATTTTTGGGCCATTTGTATGTAGTAACAAAAAACCTATGAAAAAAAATTATATATATTTTTGTGGTCATTGTAAAAAGATATTTTGAATATTCATGGATCAAGGAATTTATAGATCAGGGAATATTAAATGCTGAAATAAACTCATTTCAAAAGATAAAACAAAAAAAAAATACAAATGGCCAGTGAAGTATGAAATAATGTCTCCAGGTTACGTATGTAACCATGGTTCCCCGAAGGGAACGAGACGCTGCGTCAAAACGCTACGGGAACGCCTCCAGCGTGACCACGCTCTGAATCACATGTGTAATCAGTCCAATGGATGGGCGAGACGTCACGGGCGGGGTGGCGTAGCGACCAGGAAACATAAAAGCACGTGCGGTGAAACCGGCGTCAGCTTCTAGGCGTAAAGCAAGCGCTGGCAGGGATGCCGGAAGTATGGCCCTGAGACGCAGCGTCTCGTTCCCTTCGGGGAACCATGGTTACATACGTAACCTGGAGACGTTCCCCTTCAGGAACTCGAGCTGCGTCGAAACGCTACGGGAACGAGAATTCCCACGCCGCCAGACTAGCAAATCCCTGCCTAGTGTGGAAAAGCACAACTGAGGCGAGAGAAAAGGGAGCCAGGAATGGCTAAAGTAGGCGGGGGC